CCAAATCCAGAAAAGAACACTGTGTGTGTGTGTGTGTGTGTGTGTGTGTGTGTGTGTGTGTGTGTGTGTGTGTGTGTGTGTGTGTGTGTGTGTGTGTGTGTGTGTGTGTGTTGTTTTTATAAATCTGATCTCCATAAACACGCGGGCCTGAGGAGGGCCGTTGAGGCTAATAGGCTCGGACAGAGTGGCTGTAAACGCTTTAACAAACTCTACTGCCTCGTAAAGTCGGTTACACCGTTCGGTTGTTTACATCGCTGTTACAGGGGGGGGGGGGGGGGGGGGGTAACGCGCCTGGAGGCCGTAAAAACGCCTCGGTTGGTATTTCCCTTCCCATCTTGTCACAGGTCATCTCGGTGAGAGCGGAGCTATGATGCGTTTGTTGTGACGGGAGAAACTTGGAAGACACGCAACCTAATAATTTAGCTCGTGACAGATAATCCGGAATAATAGATTTTCTGCGTTTGGAGTGAAGCAGGCCCTCCTGCCTGCGGCGCACGCCGTGCTGGCTTCCGTCTGCTGATTGCCTCTTCACTTTGAGAATTGCCGCAGTAAGTTTCCAATTTGTTGCTCAGAATTTGATGTTATTGAAGCTCCGGAGCGCCATGTTTTATTGTTGCAATAAAAGTTTAGCTTTTGAGGTTTGTTGTGCGCAACGTGGGACGGGAGTGCGCTGCTTCTACTCAGAACGGCACCAAGGCTGCAAACCCGCCTAAAGAGGGGAGAGGATTCAATCAAACCCTCAGAATAAACGTTTCCGTTACAGCACCATAACAGTGACGTCATCTCCTCTTTGTAAAAACAGCAAGGTGTTAAGTCAATCCATTGTGCGCCAACATCAGAGGCAGTATTTCCTGCAGCGGCCCTCGTGTCTTAAAGTTAGGCTCCCATAAACCCGGGAATGCGGCCTGCTGGGTGGGATTTTTGGGGAGGGAGCAGGAGCGTTTCCTGGATTCATGCGTGCCAGCGGCTCATTTTCCAGTGTGCAAACCAACTTCATCCGCTCTGCGACGTGACGATGATGCGCGGCTGCTCCACGCGTCAGAGGGTTCCAAAGCGCAGAAGTCGCACTTTCACCACAGCCACGTGACCAGAACCTTAAGGACCGGAAACCAGACGGAAGGCTTTAATAACGCCCGTTCATCTGTCTGATCAAAGCAAGAGCCTTCAGGTTCATGTTTTCCGTTGTTGGCACGTTCTAAACCGTTCCCTGCGTCTGTCATCCCATTTATGTTCTGAATGGAAGAACCGTCACCTCTAACTGTGTTAGAGCCGTCCGCAATTCTCACTCTAATATAACCGTCTGACCCAAAAAAAAACCCACAGCAAGGCCAGTCCTGTCGTGGAGTCAGAGCGCCACCAAGCGGCCGTTCTGAGCAAAGGCCTTCAGAAGGGAGACGTGAAGAGAAGAACAGGGTTTCTTTTAAAGACGTGACTCACGTGAACGCGTGATCGCAATCCCAAAACCTCACTACATCTACAAAAACATAGTTGAAGTTCAAGTCACGTCTAATGCGGTCCGGTCCGGTTCGGATTCACAAGGCCCAGTTATAATAATCATTGACGAGCAGCCCGAACTCCATCCTGAGCTAACACAAGGAGGCAGAGTGGAGACCTAGAACCAGAACCAGAACCCACGTAGAATTTCATTAAAAAAGAAATTGAGTAACATGACGCTCAACATCAGCTTTGTTTCCCATGCGGACCGGAAATGCACACACCTTCAGTCATCAGTTGTGTAAATTGAACCGATCCACATTTCAGGTATAATTATTATTTCTGTTGACAGCGTCACGTGTTCTAAACACAATAAACAAAAGTAATCATTTATAAAACGGTGATTTAAATAAACAACAAAAAGATTCATGTTGATGAACTCACCGTTAGCAGAAACACACGTTCACACTTTTATAAAATAGTAAGATATGAAAAAACATTTCAGTAAATGCAGATTTAGAAATTATTATTTTTTCCTCACAGCCTATAATATTTATTTATTTATTATTTATTTATTATTTATTTACTTATTTATTTATTATATTTGTTTTCTTGTGTGTGTGTGTGTGTGTGTGTGTGTGTGTGTGTGTGTGTGTGTGTGTGTGTGTGTGTGTGTGTGTGTGTGTGTTTGTGTGTGTGAGCTGTGGCCGGAGGACCCGGAAAAAGCACGGCCTGGGGTCCGTTGATGGTTCCCGGTTGAGGATACCTGCGGAATTTTTGCTGAAAATAAACACACACACACACGCACACACACACACACACACACACACACACACACACACACACACACACACACACACACACACACACACACACACACACACACACACACACACACACACACACACACACGCACACACACACACACACACACACACACACACACACACACACACACACACACACACACACACACACACACACACACACACACACACACACACACATGGGCATAGGCCGATCCCTAACCTTAACTAGAATTTAACTCATGCCAGACCTCTAAAACCAACTGGTAAGCCTCTGAAAAGAGGAGAACCTGAAATATGTCCTCACTCTGTAGGGAAACTAGTGAAAACCGTCCTCAGTAGATAGTAAGTCCACACACACACACACACACACACACACACACACACACACACACACACACACACACACACACACACACACACACACACACACACACACACACACACACCGGTGTGTTTGTTTTACAGCCGTTTAGTTCTTAACCTTTAGAAATTTATACGCTATAAAGTTTTATTGCCGTCATATTCTTTTATTGCGCCTCACTGCAAACTGAACCTCCACCCCCTTTCCTGTCTCCTTTTAGCTCCAGCCGACTCTGACTTCTCTGCCACGGGATTCGCACCAACAACTCTCTGCACGTTGTCCCCGGTGGGCTCCAGACCCGGTTTGTGCAGCACTTCCTGCTGTTTGCTTCCGCCGGTGAAATGTTGAAGGGAAGTGTGCAGAACAGCTGACGTGAGAGGGAAGAACAGTTTTATCGGTCCGGTGGGAGAAATGCTGCCTGTCAGACTTTTCTTTTCTTTTCTCTGTAATAAAAATCATTCCTCGCTTCCTGTTCTCCGGTTCTGACTCCAGCCGGGACTTTTGTGTTCATTATTTCATGCATCTGCATCTCAGCTGAATTATTTATTTGACTGGTCTTATTTATTCAAATGTTTAATTCACGTATTTGTTTAAGTTACGTCTTAGTGAAGAAGCAAGAAGATAGCAGCAGCAGCTTCTAGTTAGACTAGTTCCTCCCACGTCACATCTAGCCTGCAAACAAACGTGCAGATAACATCCGTGTTGAGTCTGTTGGTCCAGACCAGAGCGCTTCTGTCGGACGTTCAAACTGCACAGTGGCTAAGTTCGTGTTCACATCAGAGCGTTTTTCAGTTTATTAAACCTTTTTATTTAACCGTGTGATAGAAAATGTTGTGTTGTCTAACGGCCTGACAGATGAAACGTACCAAATGTATGTTTAACATTATTATTATTATTGTTGTTGTTGTTATTGTTACTATTATTATTATTCTTGTTGTTGTTATAATTGTTACTATTATTATTATTGTTGTTGTTGTTTTTATTATAATTATTGTTGTCATAATTGTTACTATTATTATTGTTGTTGTTATAATTGTCACTATTATTATTATTGTTGTTGTTGTTATAATTGTTACTATTATTATTATTGTTGTTGTTGTTTTTATTATAATTATTGTTGTCATAATTGTTACTATTATTATTGTTGTTGTTTTTATTATCATTATTGTTGTTATTATTATTATTATTATTGTTGTTGTTGTTTTTATTCTCATTATTGTTGTTATTATTATTATTATTATTATTGTTGTTGTTGTTATAATTGTTACTATTGTTATTATTATTATTGTTATTATTATTATTATTATTATTATTATTGTTGTTGTTGTTTTTATTATCATTATTGTTGTTATAATTGCTACTATTGTCATTGTTGTTGTTTTTATTATCATTATTGTTGTTATTATTGTTATTATTATTGTTGTTGTTTTTATTATCATTATTGTTGTTATTATTGTTATTGTTATTATTGTTGTTGTTGTTATAATTGTTACTTTTGTTATTATTATTGTTGTTGTTGTTATAATTGTTACTATTGTTATTATTATTAATGTTGTTACTATTATTATTATTATTGTTGTTGTTTTTATTATTGTTGTTGTTGTTACTATTATTATTATTGCTGTTGTTATTATTATTGTTATATTATTGTTGTTATTATTTTTAGTATTGTTGTTGTTATTATTGTTATTATTATTATTATTATTATTATTATTATTATTATTATTATTTAGTGTGTCCAGAAGAGGAGAAAAGATTCCATTTTGTAAAATACGTTTAAAATTGTTAATTTTCATAAATCAAAACCATCAAATGTTTTTATCTGATATCAGCTAAATCATAAAAAAATCTATTTTTTTAATTAACAAAAATGCAGTTACATACTATTGCAAATAATATTATTTGTTTGTTTGTTTGTTTGTTTGTGAGCCGGTCAGGGGCCGGCGGCCTCAGGCTGCTGCCGTCACTGTGGGTCACCAAAGGCTCGTTGCTGTGCTGTTACAGCATGTTGCAGTAACGATAGGGAGTCATTACCTCTGAATAATAAAAGTCAAGATGCGTCAGCTGCAGAGCAGCAGTTAGTCTTAATTCAGTACCAGTCTCAGTGCAGAGTGGCTGATGGGTTTAGATCTGGGGCCCTTTATCATCAGGCACATTTAGGGCTCCTTTTGAAGCTGCGGCCGGACAGAGGAGCTGACTCCTCCCACTGTGGGTTTGTGTAACAGTGATGATCAGAAATGGTTCCTGAGAGCATCAAAGGAAGACATTCTGCCAGCAGGATGCTTGAACGATCAGGCTGGTGCACATTTAGAACTCCTTTTAAAAGAGGAGGCAGACTTCCATGGTTCAGGGTTACAGCTCGTCTCCATCTGATCAGTCTCAGGTGGGATCAGAGCAAATCCACAATCTGCAGGTAAAAGCTTTATTTCCCTGAAGCTGGGCTAAAAACCTGTCTTTATTCATTTGACCCTAAATGCCCGTCTGCCGTCCTGTCTCCGGAGGGACGGTCTCGCTGAGATGAGGCCCACAGCACGCGGGGTTGAAGGTCAGTCCCACCCGAGAACGTTGAAGATGTTTCTGTCAGTGCAAATCTTGATAAAAGGAACACACCACTGACTAGAGATTGTGTTTTTTATTGCAGATGAAGGAGAAAGTCACTCCTGTTTCTACCAAACCAGTTAGCATCGGCCACCTCCAGCTCTGCTAGACCTACTGGAGACGAACGGATCAGAGAGGAACTTCAGGACCTGTGAATGTGAAGGGAGTTGTTTTAGTTGGATTAGGAACGGCTGGCAGCAACAACTCTCACTGGTCTCCACATACAAACTCGTATGTAATTAACTGGTTTCACTAGAATCTAAATGGGCCAGGGAACTGGTAATTATGCTCCAGCAGAAAACACGCAGACTCCTCCCAGGAAGACCCGGCTGAGCTCTGAACCATTCCTGACACCGTAGGTCTCCAAAGCAACAGCCTGTCCTGATTTTAGTTCTCATCCAAGGAGCATCTCCTTCCTGCAAGGTGTTCAGTAAAAGCACGCCGAGGGGAAACGGGGATTAAAACCACGTTACAACACATCTGGATTAGAGTGCTGGGTTAGATGGTGGAGCTGGAGAAGTTGTGAGCTGCTTTAGAGCCAACATGTCATCAACTAGCAGAGAACCTTCCAGACCGAGAAGAGACGTTCTGTCTTTTTAAACGTGTTTGATGTGTTGAGGCAGCTGGTCTCTGCACAGACCTGAGATGAGCATCTGCTGGTTGAGCCTACTGGGCCATTTTCTGGAACGTAGCTAAGAGGCAATGCTTCGTTTTATTTCTCATCTTTATTCTTTGTCAGGATTAATTTAGAAGTCTGGAAAAAAAAACAATAAACATATTAATGAAGTTTTAAAAATATGACATCATCAGCTCTCTTCTCACATCCAGCTCTTATGAAATGTCTTCTGTGTGGAGACAGGAGACTGTTTTCTGTTGTTATAGACAACTTTCTCCTAGAGTTAACAACAACAACGATAATAATAATTATATTAACAACAATAATAATAATGAAAATATTTGGCCGCCATGCTCTGATTTGTTTTCTTTACTTTTAAATGAGTAACACACACTCTCTCTCTATTCAGAGTGCCTATAGTTATTGTATGAAACTGAAAACGTTACCTTGTGTATAAAGTAAACGAGGTGTGTGTTCTGCTCAGAGCAGCACGCGTCACAAATGTGTGTTTCTTCTCTCAACACTGGAGCTTAAAGACAAGGAGACATCTGCCTGGGTGCAAATCCAAAAGACTCATAAACCAATAGACCCCCGCTTTACCCCCCCCCCCCACCCCCCACACACACACGTGTGTGTGTGTTTTGCGATGTTCTCTTTGTCCTGCATAACAGCAGGCATTTTGTTTCCTTGTTGTTTTTTAGAGACATTTTCTGTCTTTAAAAACAACTGAAGGGAGGCAGAGAGAGAGAGAGAGAGAGAGAGAGAGAGGAGAGAGAGAGAGAGAGGAGAGAGAGAGAGAGAGAGAGAGAGAGAGAGAGAGAGAGAGAGCAGTCTTGTGTGAACAGACTCATGTGGAGCAGAGAAAAACAAGGCAACCACAATGGCTGAGCAAGCTGTTAATGGAGACGCACCCTCGCACTCATCTTCTGTGTGTGTGTGTGTGTGTGTGTGTGTGTGTGTGTGTGTGTGTGTGTGTGTGTGTGTGTGTGTGTGTGTGTGTGTGTGTGTGTGTGTGTGTGTGTGTGTGTGTGTGTGTGTGTCTGTGTGTGTGTGTGTGTGTGTGTGTGTGTGTGTGTGTGTGTGTGTGTGTGTGTGTGTGTGTGTGTGTGTGTGTGTGTGTGTGTGTGTGTGTGTGTGTGTGTGTGTGTGTGTGTGTGTCTGTGTGTGTGTGTGTGTTTGTGTGTGTGTGTGCGTGTAGGGGGGGGGGTGGTTTACGATCGTCTTTTGGTGTCACAGCAGACATACTCTTTACAGCTGCAGCCTGCAACTGCAGAGAGACTCTCTCTCTCTCTCTCTCTCTCTCTCTCTCTCTCTCTCTCACTCTGTCCATCTTCTCTTGTTATTTTGTCCAACAAAGATGAATAAGGAAATAAGTTGCTGTCCGGCACCATGCGCGTGAGCGCGCGCGTGTGTGTGTGAGAGAGAGAGAGATTGCCAGCGGCAACACAAATGAACCAAGTTGTGAAGACTCGTGTTTAATAGGAATCCAGCATTAGAGGAGCAGGAATGAGGAGACGAGCAGATGGTTTGGATTGGTCTCGTTAGGAGAAATCAAATGAGCTGCAACATCTGAGAAGCTTTGCTCCATAGTTGTCTCCGTTCTGCCCAGCTCCTCCCCGCTCACATGAAACAAACACAAAAGCACTAGAATGAAATCAAACAGCTCCCACGTTACAGTCAGACACGAGCCCTACAGCCCCGACCCGACCCGACCCAACAGAAACAAACACTTTAGCACAATAAATAAGAAACTGCTTTCTTCGGTCATGTTTTCTGTTGTTTCAGCAAGCAACACGTTCCGATAGATTTAATACAACACACAAGCAACAAAACAGGCCATCCGGAGCATGCGCAAAACCATTTCCCCTCATACAATATGTTGATGCTGCTGGACGGGTTTTAGCGCGCGCCGCTTCCACGGGCAAAACTGGTGGAGTTATGCAACTTCAAAGTAAGCAACCACTAGAACACTAGAACAACAACAACAACAACAACAACAACAACAACAATAATAATAATAATAATAATAATAACAATAATATTAACAATAATAATTATTATTATCATTATAACAATAATAATAACAGTAATATTAACAATAATAATAATGATAACAGTAATAACAGTAATAATAATAATAATAATAATGATAACAACAACAATAATGATGATGATGATGATGATGATGATGATGATGATGATGATGATGATGATGATGATGAAGGAACAGCTCTACGATGTTGGGACTGAGGAATGCAAACATGGAAAAATTCTGACCCTCAGGTTGCGCGTGAGCACGAGAGGAACCCACCTTGCATAGGAGATAAATGTGCTGAATGTCTACAGATAGAGACGATTCTTTCATCAAACGAAAAGCGCTGAGTGACCCGGATGTAAGCTATTCGTGGTGACCAGTGTGAGAAATGATATTTCTGAGTGTTTGTATGAAGCTGGCCTAAAACCTCGTTCATGCGAGGTTTGGGTTAGCTCAGTCTGCTCCTGCAGATGATTACGCAGATCAGAGGCTGACTCTTTTGAGTCCTGGGAGCAGCTATGGCACGCAGATGACACTCTGAACCGCTGGAGTCCACAAGGGACACCAGAAGTTCCGGTAACGTCGTTACCGTCACATCCAACCGCTTTTTAACCGGAAACGCTGAGTTTTTCTAATCGAATCATTTTTCAGTGAGAGAAACAACTGAGCAGAAGCATTAAAGAGAAAAAAGACCCTTTATTTGTTGGAGCGGTTCCATCCGTTCAAAATAAAGCTCCACACCAGAAGCGTTTCATCAGGGATGTCCATGAGAGAGAGAGAGAGAGAGAGAGAGAGAGAGAGAGAGAGAGAGAGAGAGAGAGAGAGAGAGAGAGAGAGAGAGAGAGAGAGAGAGAGAGAGAGAGAGAGAGAGAGAGAGAGAGAGAGAGAGAGTGTGTGTGTGTGTGTGTGTGTGTGTGTGTGTGTGTGTGTGTGTGTGTGTGTGTGTGTGAGTGTGTGTGTGAGTGTGTGTGTGTTTGTGTGTGTGTGTGTGAGAGAGAGAGAGAGAGAGGGGGGTGGGATCTCCTCTCGTTCATCTAAACTTAAATCGTGTCAAACTTCCGGTTCGTTAACAGGTTGAGGAGGCGCCTGGAGGCGCTGTGGACCGTGGAGCGTCGGGAGCAGACTGATGGGATTCCGTGCTTCTCTCTAGCAGCGTTCTCTTCCCTGAACGTAAGAGTTTTACAACTGTGACGTAGGCCTCGGCTGCTGATGAATTGGCGTGACCACTGCCTCTTCGGTTCAAACAGCCCCTGCGTGAATGTTTATGGTAAACAGTCCGCGTGGTTAGATGAGGGAGGAGTGCGAGTGCACGCGCGCATGGTTGGAGTCCCTCTACGCCTTGGGTTGGTCCTTGGTCTGTTTCTTCATTTTCATTCTCCGGTTCTGAAACCAAATTTTCACCTGTCGCTCCGTCAGATTGAGCGCGCGCGCCACCTCATGCCGCCGATCCCTCGTGAGGTACATGTTGAATAAAAACTCCTTTTCAAGCTCCAGGGTCTGGTACTTGGTGTAGGGGCAGCGCTTCTTCCTGGAGGAGCGCGCGTGCAGCCAGTTGGCTGAAGGGTCATCTGTAAACAGAGGTCATGAGACAAGAGTCAGAATGGTAGGCACTATCATACACTACTACTACTACTACTACTACTACTAATAATAATAATAATAATAATAATAATAATAATAATAATAATAATAATAATGAAAACATCTGGCTGCCATGCTATGATTTCCTTTACTCTCAGATGAGGGTAAAGAACGTTTTCTCCACATAATAATAACATGAACAGTAATATTAATGATGGATTTCTCACACAGCCTCTAAACGAACACAGACATAACTAAACATTAAATCTGTGAGGGTGTCTAACCCAAGGATCATCACTGGAGCTCTTCTAAAGCACACCCGGGGTCTGACGTCATATTATATTCTAATACAATCATGAAAAAAACGTTTTTAATATAAATGTTCTATAAATATTTATTTTCATTAGTTTTGATGAATCATCAGCCTGAATCTAGCCTCTTATCAGTCATTCTACAACCAAACACCAAATTACAGTCTTATTTATGCTAACCTGAAAAGCCTGTGTTCAGAGAAATAGTGTTCTGCCTTGCATCACACACACACTGACCTAAAACTCTGTGCTTAT